TATATTTCAGCTATTTATTAGTTTATTTTATTTGTATTATTAACTAATACAACTATTCAAACAAAACCAAGTAGCCACATCGAATAAAAATGTGTCATATAGCTAGTTTTTTTGTTCGTAACAAATTGGGACATTTTTGCAAGTGGACTCTATTTGGGCACTGGATACTGCCCCTCCTGAATAAAGCTCGTTGGAATCGAAATAATACTTGTCCCTCGTAATGGTTCCCACTGCTGGCGTAACCGCAGTATAATTCCTGATCGACGAAGTGAGAAGGTGCAGTGGCGGAGGAAATGCATGGTGATACAACCTAGGTCATACGAAGGTGTTGGTTCTGGATAAAAATTGTGGGGCCGTGTTACATACAAAGTGTGGGAAACGACGTTTGAGGAAACGCCTGGAAAACGGAACGGCTGCATCCACATAACACAGGAATCGGCAGAATATAAATGATGAAGGATTAGTACTTGAAATACATGACAACACAGGGAACTTTGCTCACAACCAAATCAATCACGTGTTTTGCTTTCTACCTGTTTAGCTTAAGTATCTACTCTTCACGGCTGCTCGCTGAGGTGTTCGTGTTATGGCCAGAGGGCTTTCCAAGTGATAAAGAAGTCATTATCGGATATATGGAAGAGCGCCAGAGGGTCATTACTTGAACTAACTCGCCTTGAATGTTTAAGGCAGTTAACGCTGAAAAGTGCGAAGAAACAGTATAGAGGGAGCATTTTGCTAAAAACTACCAACGATTGTTGCCTTTTCGGATGTTGACCGTTATTCTTGATAACAAAAGATCAAAGCATTTGTTGTTCTCAGCTTCTGTGGGACTTCTCAGCAAAGTATTCGTGTAAAATCCTGTGTTCGTTTAATTCTAATTGCTGCTAGATTAGCGCTCCCGTAGTATGTCAAATGAGTGCAGAGTCGATGAGTCACTCGCCCGAGCGCGCGTGCCCCCCCCCCCCCTAATACGTTAGCAGCCACACGAAACTACTTTCTATTTTGCTGAGGAGGGAGGCAGAAGAGCCGATGAGTCTCGGCTCGCCCGCGGGGCTCCCAACTACGTTAGGCGCCAGAAGAATGATGTGAGTAGTACGCAACAAACTCACAATACGATCGCATCTATTCCTGGAGGTTCTGCGACGTGGAATAAAATGTACTCGTCGCCGCGGCTGCAGCAACATCACGTCAGCACACCGCTACACACTAAATCATGGCGATCAACTAATAGTAAGGACTTTCCGAGACTGATTTAGCTTTTCACTGCTGAGTTTGGCTTTCAATTTTATTATCCGACAAGCTTGTTCTTGCGAGTATCGTCTGCAACAACGCTGCTTTGTCCTGCTGACATCAGTCTTATTATTGGTTTCACCAACCTACTCTGTCCCTCGTCTTTCTGTTGTTAGTTTTGTTCAGATTTGTTGATATAATCGCGTCAGCGGATTTTGAGTTTCAAAGACTGGAAGGATTTTTCAATGATCCTTAGAAATGTCTAGTTTGAGAATCGCGTTGATACCACAAAATTTCCCAGGGATCCGCACCACGCGGAAAATCGAAATCGAAACGAAACTTGGCTGCGGAACACTTTGATAGAACTCGATTGATCACTACGTTCTCTATGCAGTTCAGCTATCGACGAAGATGCGGATTCTGCGGATTTTTCAAATCGACCACTTATACCTTCTTTTCCGCAGAGTCCGTGCGTTCTGCAGAGTACTAGCTTTTTCCTCTGTGTATGAAGGCGTCAAAGCAGTGGCACGGTGGTTTCCCAACGGCGGCCTGAAATGCTAGTGGGGCTATGTAGTGGGGGAAGAGCGAAAGAACGGAGTGAAACGGTGGAAATCCTGTGAAGAACAAGCCCCGTTCTCAGTGACTAAATCGATTTCGGACGGTTTCCTGTTGGCATCCTACGCATACCGCTTCCAAAGATCGGTTGCATTATGGCATACAGCATCGCGCCGCTTCATAACCATTCCTATGCTTCATAATCTGCTCAGCAAATGAATGTAATACGAGCGTCATTAACGATTGTCCTTTTGGTGGGCGGCGGGCGAGGAAGGCGTTTTGGGACGGAATGTTGTTTGCTTCGATAGGGCTTTATGGGGGTATCTCCTCGAATAAGGCGCCACGGAGGCGCCCTGTCCGAGGTCACAGAATTCTGTTAAGCCAGTCGTATAAATCGCTGACAATTTGTATAGCGATTTATCGTGCCAACATTCCCGAGATTGATCAGCTTTGTAGACTGAAACCGTTCAGGCGTTGTGTAAAGCCGCGCTCATACATGAGGCTTGAAAAAAATGACAACTACGCGACGGAAAAAAGAACACAGCTGGAATATGTTCGCCATTGTTCGTCGTCACCTGCAGTGATTCCAATGGCAGATGGGACGATCGTTGCAAGAGGGTGGCCTTGGCTAAGGCGGAACTGAGCCCAGCTTCTGCGGAGATTCACTCAAGAAGCAAAGGACGTAACTTCAAGAACATGCTTGAAGGTTGTCAGTGGCGGGTCTGAAGAATCTCGACTGTTGTTACCGATAAGAACCCGCTCCAGAGGCACTTCATGGATTTCATTATAATTCGGCTTGGCGCAGCAGACCAACCAAGTCTTCGAAACTTTCGTTTATCGTGAGGCTGACCTTTACAATATAGTGCAGAAGGTTCAATATGATACGCAGGATGGAGGCAGAAGGATGATGTCACTTCTTTGCAAATGGGCAATGATGAGAACAACGTTTGATGATGGTATCAGGTGGCTTCGAATTGCCTCAAGATCTAGTGGCAGAGGGTTTCCCTGCTAGGTGAGAAACAAGTAGGCAAATTAGCACCACAAAACTGCAAAGCAGTTTTTCAATTCAGTGCTAACACCATTGAGCGGGCTGGATCGCGAAAGTCTCTGGGAAAGGGTGGTTCGTTTGTAAAGAATACTTTAAGCTTTCTTAGCCAAGTGGCACCATTGACCACGGCAGACGTAGAGAGGCGGTTTTTGGGAGTGCAGGCATATAATGCCCACATTCGCTCCTAAAAGGATTGTGACGGACGGGCCCCTTGGCTTATAACGGGTTCAAGGCAGTTTTTTCCGCACGCATACACCTCGACTGCACCTGTGTCGATTCCCAACATAATCCAGACATGGGAAAAGGAAAACTAAGGAAATGGTGGAGGTTGGGGAGGAAAACAATCCAGTGGCAATATCACACAAGACGTAAATGTTAGGCGCCCTTCGCGTTCTACTGTGAATGATTCACACCTGCCGTTCACGATGCTGTTGTGCAATTGGACGAGTCATGAAGGGACGGTTCGGCAGATATTCTTGCTATCTGACGGAATGACACAGAGGACCATGGCCAAAATACCGTCGAAGAAATTATTTTAGGTAGCTGTGAAATTATAACTAGTGGATTCATTCTTCACTGGTGACCGTTACAGGGAGGGCAGGTGGCACGTGCTGAAGAGAGCGCGGACAAAAAACCTTTGAAGTATCATTCGAACGGCCCTTGCTCTTGTGATCCAGCGGTAACTCCACTATTTTCTCATGTGAAACTAAGCTGCTTGATGCCGATGTGACCAATTAGCTTCTTCAGAATAAATACGACACTGTCTCAACTTCGGGATCGTGCTTATGCATGAGGCTGTACTAGCATGGACGATAGGAGTGGAGTCAAGTTGTCCCCATAGACACGCTGTTAAATGTACTAGGCCCAGAATGTAATGCCCTCGAATGTGTGCAGGAAGACGCGCATCCACATTTTGAAACCGAAGTGGATAACTCCGTCGTGGAGGCACAGGAGCGTAAGGAAGGCGCGTTATCAGAAACTCAATGCTGATCAGAACACAAGTAATCTGAGCAGATAGGAGACTAGACATGAAGGAGTTGAAGTCAAGATCCTTTTCCTAGACCTTGCACGCTATAGATGCCACGCTCCTCGTTGGCAAAGTGGATACGGATGAAGGCGATGGCGCAGTTGCAGGAACTTTAGAACGCATGCAGTCGCAGTGAATTATACCAGAACACTTCGAATAACGCTTGCCCGCTGCAGACCCGAGCTTGAATGGAATTGGAGGCAAACCGGCAAACTAACCAAAGTACGGCTGTAGTAAACTTTGAGCTTGTTTACTGTTGTCAATAAGTTAGAGCGTATGATCTCTTCAAGAGATTCGTTTATAGCCGTGAAAGATAAAGAAAACAAAGGGATCGAGGTCAAGATTTACATGAGGAAATCAAAAGGATGAGAGAAGGGCATTCAGAATAATTAGGCTTCGAATTATGCATCAAGTAAAGCTGTTATTACTGAAATCGTTCGCAGGAACCTCGCAAGCTCGTGTTCATCGCTTCGCTTCCAGAAGTTTTAATCTGTTCAGTGTCGATATTTTTCTATTCAAGGTTATTGTGTTTGTCGATGCAAAACTATATGCTTATTTCATATTGAAAACAATTGTATGTCGACGAGGAAATAGCTCAAGAATGGTCCGTATATGATACGCTCAGTCCCTTGTATTCTATACAAAGCACAGCTTTACATATGCCTGTTTTGATTATTAATTTAATTATTACTTGTTGTTGATCGTCAC